CACACCCCCACAAAGAGTCAATTCTTCATCCCATGTATGATATTCTCTTCTTTTATTCTACGTGGTGTTCATGAAATTTATTGAACCAATGAGTTTTTCATCATCAAAAAAAATTACCACGTACTCTTCCAATAGTACCTCTGCCCACAGGCCCTTCCTTCTTTTGGACTCTGATTACATAAATTTTATAAAACTGTTTGCTATCGTATTTATTCTCTAAATTTTTAATTTTTGGAAGAAGGAGCACACTCACACTACAGTTCATCTGGAGGTCACTATAGGCAGTCAGTAATTTCCTACCATGAGCGTTCCAGGGATCAGACTCGAGTCACCAGGTTGGGAGGCAAGTGCACTAAGCCATCTTGCCTCGTGCCAACCCCATTTGCTATCTCAGCTGTGCTTGTCTACATTATTTAATGTTTCCCTGTGCCTTCATCTGGATACTTGTCAGTTTTTTCCTTTGCTTCTTGTCAGCTTGCTTGTGGAATCTCTCTCGGTTCTCCCCATTTGCTTACTTGTTCTCACTCCATTCTTTCTCCTTCTTGTCAAGTAACTCCTCAGGCACATTAATATAGGTATTAAAAGTCTCTCTGATGATTCTAGATGTGGATTTTATGTGATAGCCATTTTATGGGTCTATAAATTATTTTCTGATTTCTGCTCCCCTCCACATTTTCAATCAAGATGTTTTTGGCATGCCTTGTTGGATTTGAGTGCACGCTGGACATTGTGTACAGAAGTTTATAGAGAAAGTTCACCTCTCTGGCTAATGTTACAATGTTACTCTTCACCAGACAGAGTTTAATCTTAGAATCAGATTCTCTTAAGCCAATTATGGACAAAATGCTCAAGTTTAAGCTTCAGTTCTTGAGAGACTCTTTTGGTTTCTAGGCAATTCTTCCTGGTGTGCGGCTCCAGATGTGTCACAGGATATCCAGGGGACATTTCCCAGGTTCCTTTACCCTTCATTGGGCTCAGAACTCCCATTCCCCTACCTTTTTATGCCTAGTTCTCTGAAAATACTGAAACTCTTGGGCTTCTCAGTCCTAGTCACAAATTATGAAAGCGGCAGTCAGCCTCTTGACTAAGGTGATCCCTCAGTACTCCTCATTCTCCCTTCTGTGAATCTTGGCTGTCAGAATTCTTACTTAACTAGTAGCTTTGATATACCTGCAAACAGATGTTTTGGTCCATTGTCTTCTCAGTAAGAAGGTGGGTGGACCCAAAATTGTCTAGAGCAATGGTTCTCGACTTTCCTAACTCTAAGATCCTTTAATATAGTTACTCATAGTGTAGGAATACTACATAACATTATTTTTGTTGCAACTTCATGTCTGATATTTAAATTATGATTTATAAACACATACAAAAGCTCCTTCATAACTAATAAGAGAGACTAGCACACTTCATTTTGCTACTGTAATGAATCATAATATAAATATCTGTGTTTTCTAATCGCCTATGAAAAGGTCCCTCAACTTCCAAAGGGGTCCCTACCCAGGGATTGAAAACCACTATTCTAGATGATTCTTTTGGGGAGCAGCTTCTTGAACAAATTTCATGGAGACAGGAGCAATTTCCAGGGCTTTCCCCCACAACTGTCTACAAAGCCCATCTGCCTTACAGCATCTCAGAGTTCTATGCCCTCAAACGCATCTACAGTTGTCTGGAGGAGACTTAGGTGGTACTGCCTTGCTCAAGGAGCATATCCTGGAGCTGGGCTTAGAGCTTAAAGGCCTTGGGTCTCTTCCAGTTGGCTCTCTGCTTTGTGCTTGACTCTGTTTCCTGCTCCTGCCATGGTGCCTGCCTCTTGCTGCCATGAGTCTCCACCATCGCAGACTCTCATACCCCTGGGGTTGTAAAGCCAGTTCTTCCTTCTGTGAGTCACTGTTTATCATGGTGTTTCATCACAGTAACAGAAAGTAATGGACACAGAATTCCTTCCCACTTCTGATGGGACAGAACACAAGGCTCTCTCCTTTCTGACAACTCATTCCGCTACAGTTTTCTGCTTGGTACATTCACTGGTTCTTTATCGTTGCTTTCCATACATTTTTTTAAAATGTGTTTATTATTTTGTGTTCACACGTGTGCTGGATGCTCACCTGTATACATGCTGGTGTGCATGCCTCTGTACACACATGTGGAGGGCAGAAGACGACACTGGGTATCCTGTTCACCCTCCGCCTTTTTCTTTGAAGCAGGGCCTATCACTGAACCTAGAACTAGTCTGACAAGCTCTCACTTGCTTAACTGTTCAGATTCTTGGTTTCCTCACCTATAACTTAATGCTCCTCAAGAAGTCATATGAGTTATTAGCTGCTTGATGACTCTCTCTTAATCTGTCTCTGTCTGTCTGTCTCTCTCACTCTCTCTCTCACACAAACACATATATGTCCTTATTCTTCTTATTGTTGCCTTTGACATCATCTGCTATGTGCCTGCATCTACTTTATTTATGGATGCAGTCTTTTTTTTTTTCTGTGCTGTAGGCAATGAGTGTGGTTTTAATTAGCATCCTCTGAATTAATGACTTACCAGTAGTGACATATTTATCATCAATTGCACAATTACTTTATGTAGTTCTAGTAAAACATGACTTCGAGTATAAAATATGTCTAGTTAAGAACAAATTACCCATGCTAATAAAAAAATTTGACACAAGCCATTATTTGCTGAGCTTAAAGCTGGTATTTGTTAAGAAGCCTCAAGTCATTTCACTTTTGCTGAAGACTCATATTTAAGTAATTGTACAGTATAGTCATTTATTACTGTCACACTTCCTTCTGCCTCTGAGACAAAGGAAATAGCTCATCAGAGTGCGTGTTCCATAGATTATTTCCCAGGAGGGTGAAAAGCCAGAGGGATTTCTAAGAACCCTGAACTAAAGGAAAGAACAACAAATTAGCGGTGGCCAATAGGGTGTTCAAAACCTGGAGTGTTTTGGCTCCTTGTTTTCAGTCTCTTCCCTTAGCTTTCTCTTACCACTTTGATTAAAACAACAATACAAAATTCTGCCATTAGCAGTTTCATTGTTTGACTAGTGGTGTCTATTTAACTGCCACTTCCTAGATATCCAGTCTCTTACAGGTAGAGGAGGTCATTTGGGCAGTTGCTGTAGGTGAAAGGTCTGAAGGCCCCTGGTAAGGTATTGTAGTACTGGCCAAAGAGCTGCTGCAGAAAGGGGCTTGATTTTCTATCTTCTCTGAAGCGAATGATCATAATGACTGGGTAAGGGTCCAGCTCTCTCTCCATGACATTTTCCTGGACACCCTGCCCCAGTGGTCCTGGGAAGACAGAGCTTCAACAAGAATTCCAGATCGCTTTTTACAAAATTACCTGCCGATAATCTGGAAATTTGTTATAAAAGTTTACACAGTGTGATGGCTATTCTCAGTTGTCAACTTGATTATATCCAGAATGAACTACAATCCAGAAATGGAGGGCACACCTGTGAGAGGCTTTCTGCCTGGTTTGAAGTGGGTGAATCCACATCTAGTCCAGACCTCCGAGGTTAGAAGACACACCCCTGCACTGGATCTTGAGGTGGGAAGACACACCTTTAATGTGGGCCACACCCTCTGCTGGAAACCTCAATAAGGACACGGAAGAAGGATGCTCTTTTTCTTTACCTGCCTGCCCTCACCATGCTAGCATTTCCATTCCTTCACTGGCACTGGAGCCTACTTTTTTGGAGATTTTAGCAGATCCTGAAGACCAGCCGAGACATCCAGCCTTGTGGACAAAGCAACTACTAGGTTCTTGGACTTTCTTTGCAGATACCTATTGTCGTATTAGTCAGAACGCAGCCTGTAAGTCATTCCAACAAATTGTGTGTGTGTGTGTGTGTGTGTGTGTGTGTGTGTGTGTGTGTTTGCTTGTGTGTGTGTACACTCTAAAGAACCCTGAGTAATACACATAGGCTTTATAAATGTTACATTTGAGGGCTGGAGTGGTAGCTCAGTAGTTAAGATCACTGGCTACTCTTGCAGAGAATCTGAGTCTGATTTCTAGCACCCACATAGCACCCATTCACAAACATCTTTAACTCCAGTTCCAGGGCACCTGACACTCTCTCCTGGCTGCTGAGAGCATTAGGCACGCATGTGGTACACACACATGCGCAGGTGCAGGGAGAGACTTATGCACACTGAATAATAAAGATGAGTAAACCTTTTAAAAGGTTACTTTATTTGAAAAAAACAGCTGCAATTCATCCTCTTATACTCCATTTGAAAGTCGGGTCCTAGAGCATGGCTGGGCCTGACTGTGGGGTCTGTCCAATCCTTCAGATCAGATATATGGTGACCCAGCAGCATCTATTGACAGAAAAAAAAAGTGGTGTGGCTGCCTCAGGCCCCACTGACATGCGGACCCAATGGCCTGTACCTCACTGTCACTCTTGGCACTGTTGTCTCCACCATGCTTCTATGTGGCTACACAGTGAGCCCCTAACTACCAGGTGACAGAGGAGAAGAAAGGTGTCGGATAACCATGTTTGCCAAGACACTGTACCTTGGAAACCAAGCAGCACCTAGCCCCAGTAGAACAAATACCTAGAAAGCATAGGTTAGATAGAAGAATAGTCTGAGTTCCTCATTCCCAGTGACCTGTTTGGGGGAATTTGTGTTTCTTATTTCCACAGCTTTAGTCTTCACTGCTCGTCAGATTAGAAGACCAGAATTCAAGGAAACGGGTCACCATCTAGGTAATAATAGTGGTCCCTGATCAGCAGGAGGAGATAAGGACTTGTTACATAAAAGACACAACCTCGTGCTTGTGTTGACATCTTGTAGTAGGCCTGAGTAATACTGACAATAAGCAGACACGTACAGAAGTACAGCAACAGACCGAGAAAAGCCTGCTGACCTCATCACCCCATTACTGAATCACGTAAGCTAACGCTGAAGGGAAGCTAGGCTGCGTGGTGGGGAAGCCGAACCATGAGTCTGCAGATTTTAGATCAACAGCATCAGCAGAGGCCAAATTCCATTCACCAGTTTTGTATATATTTATTCCCAAGAAGGAAGGACGAAGTGAACGAAGGAAGGAACCTATATGCAATACAGACGGGGAAACAGAGCACAAGCGAGTGAACCAAGCAGCTCACGGGGGCTCAACCACAGCCTCTGGAATCTGTGGTAGACCCTCCACACTGACCGTTCGTGACCTAGGCTCATCCTCCCAGCTGCGAGGACAGTGGCTTCTCTATTTGGATGGACAGGAGCTGTCACATCCCAAGGATGGCTTCTCTCTGGAAGCAGCCCGCACCTGGTGACCAAAAGCTGCAGAGTGGACACATCAGTTGCCGTGACACGGTGGCTCTCCCTCCTCCAGAGAACCCTGTGGGAATAGATTGTGAATTCTTTTTACTGCAACTACATTCGAAGCCAACTTACTCCTCCATCAACTCCTGCTTTCTTCCCTCATTTCTTTTTTGTGTTTTAGGCAGTCCTTCTTAAACCCTCCACACGTGAATCTAACTGAGTTCAAATCTAATTCTCAACTAGTGTCTCTGATTGCTATGTTAGAGGTGAAGTGCTAACCCTTGAGGCCTGGGAAGCAAAGTAGAGCCTTGTAGACTCTAGAAGCATTCCAGAATGGGGTTATATTGTGGAAATGAAGACAAAACAGAATGCTCCTCCTCCTTCTCTCCCTATATCTTTACAGCCTAGGAGCAGCTGCAGAACTTGAACTTGCTGCTGACCCCTAAGTCTATTTGCTTTGACAGCCTTGGGATGCCTCTTGATGTGAGAGCAAGGGCTTCCTCACCTACTGGTTCAGACTAGCTGCTGCTCCACTGGGACTGAGGAAACCAGGTACCTTAGCTTTCTGTTTCCCCCAGAGATGCCTCTGTCCTGTGCTGTGCCGCCCGAGGCATGGCATGGCATGGTAACAGTTAACTGTGTGTCACTGGGCACAGTGGGTCCTGAGCAGACAAACCCGGGGAGCCTGAAGCAGCTCCAGCACTGTTCCCAAGCAGATAGCTTGATGGTCCAGGTCTGTTAAATGTCTGGCAGGAAAGGTCCCCGTGTGTCTAAGGAGTGTGCAGCCCTCCCGAGGTTCCAACGAGAAGACACTCAAGGCCTCCTGTACAGCTGCAGCGTCTTAAGCGACCTCATCACACCAAAGGCCGTGAGGCTGAAATCTCTGTTGGCAAATTAGAGGGCAATTTGAAACTTGTCAATTATTTACCTGAACATATGGAAAGAATTTTCCCCATCTTTGTTTAATCTGTTCGGAGGGCTGTATTTATTTGGCAGGCAATGCTGTGGAAGGATTCTCTGTCTCCCTGTGAGTTGGACATTATTCGGCAGTATTTACGAAATTGGGACTTGGGGACATCTAGTCAATCACACATCTTCATGGTGAGGAACAACACAGCTGGCTTCCTAACCTAGCCCACCCTACCTAAAGCTCACACCTAGTCACATCCACTACAAGATGAGCTGCCCACTCAGCTCGTGTCATCGGCAGGGCTCCCGTTCCCTCGCATCTCCTTCTCTGAGCTGCACCCGTGTCACCCATCTATCTTAGGAGATAGTGTGGCGCCATCTCCCCTGGAATGGGGGAGTGTCATGGATGGTGCATAGACTTCTTAGCCAGGGTTCTTAAGTAAGACGTGCATGGTTACTCCGGAGGACTTCGCCCGGCACTGACACCTGTACACACAAAGCTCGCGCTCTGCCCTCCACCTTCTTACACACAGACATTCCCTTTATCCTAGTCTCTCCTCACACACCTGTGGCTGCTTCCCCCTAAAGGTTGCCTTGTACCATAAAGATTCCAACTCAGAAAAACATTAAGCTGTCGCGCGCAGCCCTCGCCGATAAGGACGACGCAGCAACAACGGATTTGTCCAGCAGCAACTTTATTGTGAGGCTCTTAACAGCAGATGGAGAAGGACCCCGAACCCTGTGTGCATTCTGCTTAAGTAGCCAGCAGGGTGACTTGTTCGTCTGTAATTGGTGCTCCACACAAAACCCAATTAGCATGTGGTCTCCAAATGGAGGACCACACAAGCCTACATTAGCATAAGGCGGCGCATGCGCAGATCGCAAAACAATGCTGGCAAGAAGAACCAGGAAGCAGGAAACCGGCGCCATCTTGTAATGGCGGGAGTGGCTCCCGACATTAAGCCATGGGGATGTGGGTTGCCGGCAGAAGGGCATCATTTAAACAGCTCAGTAACCTACCTCTCCCATGGTCCTTTGGGTCCACGGTCTCACCCGTCCTGCTGTTCCTGTCAACTACAGCTTATTCTGTTTTTCCTGGAGGAAAGCTTTCCTCCATACCATGGTCCAGGCAGGACAGAGAGGGGAGAAATCTGGGAATACCTGTTGTGTGACAACATCCAACAGTACAGGTCCCCCAAAAAAGAGGGAAACTGAGAGATTACTTTGCTGAGGACTTGTCCAAGATCGAGACAAGAAAAGATAAACTTTAGCAACATTGTAAAAATGACTCTGCTGAAGCCGTCTTTGAAGTGACCCCATTCCTGCCACCTGGGATTTGTGTACTTGTGACTATTTGGGAGTAAAGTTGGAGAAAAATAAAACACACACACACACACTCACACACGTCCTGAAATGGATCAGATGACGCTGTGTTTTGCATGGCCCATGGCACGGCTCCTAACTCAATCCCAAGGAGTATCTTGGGCACCAGGAGGGCTGGGAGCCAACATGAAGTATTTCTGCCTCAAATTACATCTGCAGGGGCCATGGGTGCCTCATTTTCTGATTCCATTTTTCACAAAACAAGTCAACATCTGCCTTTTGTTATTTCTAAACCTCATTGTTTTTTAAACATTCCCAGTATATTTGGAGCAAAATACCCTTTACAGAAAGAATGCCTCAGAAGGCCTGGGCACAGCCATAGAGTTGATGAAAGCTGACACCTTCCCCTCCCCTCTGCCACTGCCCCCAGAGAGACATAGGCACCTACAGGGCAGAGTGTATCCTGAGGCCACATGTGGAATTTGCCCAAAAGTGAGATTTCACAAACTTGGAAATAATGAAAGGCACAAGCTTGGGAATAATGAAAGGCTGAAACAGGCCGTTCGTAGAAGGAGAGAGTTTTACAGGGTTCAGTGGGGACAAAGGCAAGAGTCTGGCTTCTATTCCTTCCACACTCTGCCAACCATTAAGGTGTTTTGAGATGGACTTAAAAATAGACAGATAAAACTGCAAGCCTTCCAAGGTGGTCTGGAATAAGTTTTACATCCTGATGCTATAAGGGGAGCAGGAGGAAAGAAGGGCAGGGATGGGGTGGGGCATTTGTTCTTCGGTCAAATGAAAATGCAAAGAAATCAGAAAGAGCCCTTTAGGCTATGGATCTTCATGAAGAGCTTGCTCAGGCCTCCCTGTGGCCCCTACATGAAGGGCCTTTGGGTTACATTTTAATTAGCCTTTCATTCAGTCAAATTAATTCACATTCTTTTGCAGCAAGTAGGAAAGCATGGCCAGAATGCTGAATAATGCCTGGCCAGTGAGCATAGCAGCTATCCATGCCTGCCTGGGGCTCTCTCCATGAAAACCCAATGAGTTAGTATCCTGGTTTTAAAGCTTTTTGTTTGTCTTATGAAGTATAACTTCGATGTGCAATCTTGAACAAACCGAACTGTCCTCTATCCCATGAATCTTCATTTTCTCTCCATTGAATTTCAGAAGTCTTTTCCCCTCCTTCTCCATCTCCCTCTGCCTTCCTGTCCCCTATTCTTTAAATTTCCCAGGTGTTCTCTTGCCCCAGGGCCATTGAAATTGCTGTTCTCATTCCCAAACTGATCTCCCCTAAATACTCCAAGCTGGCTCCCTCATCTCCCTTGATTTCAGGTGTTGCTGTTCCAATCATAATTCCCCTAGACTCCTTTAAACTAATAGCCCATTACCCCCACCCTCCTGAACCTTCAAAACTCCACTCTTGCTTTATTTTCTTATTTTCTTGACTTGATACTTTAGATTTCCCTTCTCTGTTAGAAAGTAAGCTCTATTAGATGAAGCTTACATCTCACCTAGAAGGTACCTAGCATGAGGTAAATACTCAATAAAAATGTTTTTATTTCTTTCCAGAATAAATGACTAAAGTGATGTGCTCAGAATGCTGAGCACAGGTTTTGAAGAAAAGAATAAAAAGATGACATCATTAGAGTGGACGGTGTAGAGCTTTGCAATACAATAAGTTTCTGTCAACTTCTTTAGTAAGCTCACCTTAGGATCACAAAGTGGCTGCTGCACCACCAGAGCCCATTATGTGCGTCCAAAGCAGGGAGAAAATGAGATGGAAACTAGGAAAGGGAAAGGCAGCAAATTGTTTCCAGAAACTCCATGCATGGGTCCAGTTAACTGAAACTTTGTCACATAGGCACCTCGAATTGCAACACCAAACACCTGTAAGACAGGAAGAGAGAGGGTAATAGAATGCATGTGGCATGAAGGTAGATGAGATACCCGTTTATGGGAGGGAAGAGAATCAGCCAGAGGAAGCCAGGCTAGGGTGGGGGTAGCGGTGGGGTCGGGGCAGTGAGCTAAAACAGCATGATGACTCAAATGTGAAAGTGCTGTGAAGAAATCGGCCACCTTGTATGCTATCTTCCAAATTAACAAAGCAAAAATAAAAGCAAGGTTTGGTTGATGAGGAAGAAAGGGAGGAGGATTAATGTGGGCCCCCAGCGCACCTTCCAGCCAGAGGTGGAACTGCCCCTGGCAAAAGTCTTCAGTCTGAGCTGAAGAAGGTTCCACTTAGAGCTTTGAGTCACGTTTCCAGCTTAGGGAAGTAGCCTAGCTCAGAGAATGATGCAAATGTCTAGAAAGTCCCACGAATTAAGGGAGATCATCCCAGCAGCCTTTAGGGTTCTTGCTTCCAGCTGTCAGGAAGGCCTTACTGTCAGCTGTTGTAGCCCAGTGATGGGAGACTTTTATTGTGTGCCTTGACACTCGTGAGGGACATTAAAGTTTACACTTGGCTCCTTGCCTTGTCTAAACCAGCATTCCTCAGCAAGCCTGAATGAGCTGGGAGATGTGGCAACCTTCCCACTCCCACAGGAACACATCAGAGCCCAGGGCATCTCTGGGGCAAACTTTCTCCTTCTTCAGTGGGGGAGAGGGGCGTTTCCAATGGTTCTAACACTCAACCCTATTATTAGAGGTTCTTTCAGCTCAGCACTGAAGGCAGAAATTTCATTGTAGGGGAACAAGGTGACAGCCATGAACAGTCAAATGGAGTCGCTGCCTCTAGAACCATAGGTTCCCTATATGACAAACTATGCTGAAACAGACATTGGCCTGCCCTTGTCTGTGTGAGCTGCTTCTGCACTGTGGTGGGAGACTGAAGGAAGGGAAGCAGAGAAGGCTGTCAGTATCAGGACAGTGGGCGTGGCTCAGGCTATGACTGTTCCTTTCCTTACACTCCTGGTCACCATCTAGTCCAAAATCAAGGACAAATGCCTTGTCTTGCTGCCTCACTCTCAGCCCAGGACAACATAAGAACCAGAGGCAGAGTATACTACGAAGAGTTCCCTACACACTGATGTCTACACCCTAGGAAAACACTCCTAGACTTATTACTCAGTGCCTCCTTTTCACAGACTGTGCAGGAACCATAATCAAGGTTCCAAGAAGGAGGCGACTTTCTGCCAGAAGGAGAGGTCAGTGCATGCTAGGGTTAGGAGAACAAGAAGCCATGGTCTTCAAAGTGACCCCATGGCACTGAGGATCGACCCAGCCTTTCTGCTTCCTCAGAGACCACTTGCCTAGCTTGGGCAGCTCTGGGAGGTTTACTTGTCTTTGTCACTGTGAGCTGTTTATAGCCTAGAAAAGCCTGATGTGTGTGTGGTGTGTGTGTGTGTGTGTGTGTGTGTGTGTGTGTGTGTGTGTGTGTAGGTGGGTGGGCATTGGCTTGGTGTGGTGATGAGACTCACCACACTGTGATCCAAAGCTCCGTAACAGGCAGCTTGGGAAAGATTTTTATACTCGAATTTTGGCAGAGGCCAAGGAATTTAGCAGAGAGTAAAGACTTGAGGTTTTGGTAAAGGACCTCAAGCACTGAAAGGGAAAATCAAGTTTATTCCTGCAGCGGCAGGAAGGGTGAGGGGCACCCCCAAAGTCCCAGGTATCCTTTCTTCCCTCTTCTTCCTTCTGTGTGACAACAGCTGTCAGGTAACAGACAGCTCCCTCTGAAGGCGGGGCTACCTGGCTCACCTGATGACCCCCCCGCAGCAGCAGTGTTTTGCTACTTGAGACAAAAAGCCCACAGCCTCATCCAGTTCTGAGGGTCTTTGGCCTGGCAGGCCTGCCTCAGGGGTTCTAAGGGAGGCCTGCCTCAGGAGTTCTAATACTCTGTGGCTGTGGCCGGGAGGTTCTCTGTATCAAGTCCTCTGGAAGGAACAGACACTTCTCACCAGAGTATGGAGGCCTGGAGAGACTTCCTCCTGCGCTAGTGCTGCGAAGAAATGCTGGCTAGGCCTCAAGTCGCTGCTCTCTCAGTCAGCTCTGAGGTCAGTGCACAGGCTCGGCAGGGGCAGGGCAGTGTGGCTACTCTGCAGGCATGGCTTCAAGACGAGCTCCCTCACTCTCATCAGAGTCTCAAGGGCTCTGACACACTGCAGACTCAAGAGGCCCCAGGGTGTTCCCAGGGGCCTCTAGTAGCCAGGGTGTAGAACACTTTGTTAATATTTGCCTCAACCAGATCCCCAAGGAGCCACTGGGAAGAAGATTTTCTGACCTTCATCTCCCAAGCTCACAGATGAGTCATTTCAGCAGGCATGCTCGCCCCCTCTCAGGATGGCCAAGTTCTTTTCAGTTCTGCTTATGCAATCTCTGCTTGGGATTTGGTTATAATGTGTGTACTCTACCGTATATTCACATCTTCTCCTTCCTCTCAGCCCCCATCATCCTCTAGTTCCTGCAGAAACATAAGTGCCTTTCTTGAGACTTCCTGCATCTAGCTCAGAACTAGGCACCCTCCATGTGTTCTGCATTTAGGGAATGAAGGAAAAGGGGAGGGAGAGGGGGTTGAAAACAGGAGAAGGAGATTTAATGAATGAGAAGGAATGAATGGAGGAGAGGAGAAGGGGACAGGAGAAAGGAGAGGAAGGGGAAGAAAGGAAAAAAATGGACAATGGAGCAGAAAAGGGGGAGCAGGAAGGAGTGGCGATGGTGGAAGGAGGGATGGAGAATGAAGTTCAGAGCATGGACGAGGGTGTGGAAAGGATGGAATGGGGGGGGACAGAAGAAGAAATGAGCTGGATGGAGTGGGGAACAGGGAGGAGGAAGGACGAGGTAGTGCCGAGGATGGAGGAGGGAAGAAGAGAGGAGTATGCTTTCCCAAAAGATCAATTTCAACCAAGATGGCTTGAGATAAGGCAATAAGACAGGCAGGGTAGGTAGAGAGTGTGCTGTGCAATGGTCAAGGCTGGACACTCTGGGTGTTACTGATTTTTTTTTTCTGTATATCCACGAAGTATTATGGCCTTGTGCAGAGGGCTCAGGCCACCACTCTCACTGTCCTGGGCTTCCCCTGGCCTGTTTGCTAGCTTTAGAATATCCCACACACAGACAGATAGCTTCAGCAGATTTTATTAAAATCACTCACTTACACTGTGTGTTTTTAAGCAACACCCACGAGTACCTTGAGACAACTGTCATCGCCACCACCTGTGGTGTTATTTATTCTGTCAATTTGAATGGTTTCCGTGATAAAATGGCTGGGCAGCTGCAATGACTGAGGACTGGGTGGGACAGTTCCGAGGTGACGGGGAACAGCGAGTGCCCGCACTGTACGCAGTGAGTGGCAGAAACACAAAGAGCCAGCACACGGCCTCTGTCCTCTGTTGACCCCCTTTCTGGACTATGATCCCCTTCTCAGATCTAGAGCCAAGCAACATGGAGGGAGGTCCCTTCAAATTCTGGCAGCGTAGGGGTTATGAACAGTGGCTGGTGTCACTGGTGACTCCTCAGCCAGACAGGGGCAGATAAGATCCATAGGGCCTTGCAAGAGCACGAATGTGGTTGGGTTCCCCCTTGCCTCTAATGAATGAGTGACTGTATAGACAATGCTATAAATACAGGGAAATGGAGGCTTCTAGAAGAAAAGAAGCTACAGATGACTCAGAAATTTGTTCCGTCAGCTCTATGAGTATCTAGATTCCTGCCTATCTAGAGTCTTAATTACTACCCTGTTGCTGTGAGGAGACACTATAACCGAGGCAACTTATGAGGAAAGTGTTTCATTGGTGGTTTGCTTCCAGTCAGTGGTAGGGAGTGTGGTGGCAGAAAGACAGGCACAGTGCTGGAGAGGTAGCTGAGAGCTCGTATTAGTAACCACCGGTTCCGAGTTAAGGTGGCTTGAATAAGACAGTTGGGATTCCTCTATGGTCAACATCAGCCACTAGGGAAGGGTCACAGGAGCTAACACCAATTCTGGAGAAAGGCATTGGTCTCTCTCTACTACCTAACAATCATTTAAAGGCCCCACCTCCCAATCTTGCCAGAATGCAATCAAACTTCAGTGTGAGTTTTAGAGGAGACAAACCACACACACAAAAAAAAAAAAAAAAAAAAAAACACAGCATTATCCCGGCTTGGTTTGTCTTCCTCTAGAACTGCTATTTGTCAGGCTCTTACTGAATACCTTAGATAACCATAATGGACCAACAGACATGTGTGGAGGCCATAGAAGCCTCTTTTCTCTGATCTTTAGAACAGAAGTGTGACAGTATGGCAGTGCTCCTCAAAATTATATCACAGGGAGGCTAATACAACTGAATTCTCCTAATGCTTCACCAGCTCTTAGAGAAAACCTCTCTGAACACCAAAAAAACAACAACAACAACAACAAAAAAAAAAAACCCGAATGAACAGAATTTTGAGGAAAACAGAATCGTGGCAAGAAGTTCTAGCACATGATTTCATCTTATGCGGAACCAATAACAGATTCCTTGGAATGGCACTTACCTCCGGCTAGCTAGCATCAATTGTCCAGTAAAGCAAAGGTTTCACTCCAGGAGTACTGCTCTCTTGTTAATCAAAGCAATTTCTCCAGCTCCAGCTGACCAGAGTCACAGATTCCCAATTCAAAGTAATTATATAAACAGCCCTGAGGGTGTCTTTGCTTCCCACGCAAACACCACAAGCCCGGCCTCCATCATCTGCACTGCTTTCGAGCATTATCTTCGTGGTTCCCACAGAACAGCTTGTTAAGCTCTAAGTACTAGTGGCTTTTCCAACCCAGAGTTCCAAACACCTCGACAATCCTCCCAAAACAACAGGGTCAAGCCTGTCAAAGCAGCTGCCCACTTCCTGGTGCCGTTTCTGACCTAGTTTGCTTCCTATTGCTGTGGTAAACACCACGACCAAAAGCAGCATGAGGTGGAAAGTGTTTCTTTTATCTTTCAGCTTACAGCCCATCCTCCAGGGAAGTCATGGCAGGAGCCAAGGCTGAGGCCATGGAGGAGTTCTAGTTACTGGCTTGCTCAGTCTGCTTTATTATACAGCTCAGGACCATCTGCCTTAGAGATTGCCATCTGACATCAGTCAATGAGAAAAACATCCTACAGACTTGCCTGCAATGCCAATGTGGTAGAGACATTTTTCTCAGTTGAGGTTCCCTCTTCCTAAATGACCTGAACTTGTGTCAAGTTGACAAAAACTAAGCCGAGTGTTGGAACCACTCTCAATGAGCCCCAACCATGCTGCTACATACCCCATGTTCCCCCATCATGCACTAATGGTCCCAAAAGGTTAAACTCCAAGATGGCAACCCTCAAAGACCAGTTGATTATGAATCTTCTTAAGGAAGAGTAAGTCCCCCAGAACAAGATTACAGTTGTTGGGGTTAGGCTGTTGGCATGGCTTGTGCCATCAGTGTCTTAATGAAGGACTTGGCAGATGAATTTGCCCTTGTTGATATCATGAAAGACAAACTGAAGGGAGAGATGATAGATCTCCATCATGGCAACATTTTCCTTAGAATGTCAAAAATTGTCTCTGGCCAAAAACTACAGTGTGACTGCAAACTCCAAACTGGTCATTATCACAGAGGGAGCCCATCAGCAAGAGGCAGAGAGCCAACTCAGTTTGGTCCAGTAAAACGTGAACATCGTCAGGTTCATCATTCCCAGTATTATGAAGTACAGTCCAAACTGTAAGCTGCTCATTGTTTCCAATCCAGTGAATATCTTGACCCACGTGGCTTGCTTTTCCCAAAAACAGTCATTGGAAGTGGTTGCAATCTGGATTCCACTCGGTTCCATTACCTGATGGAAGAAAGACTGAGAGTTTACCCACTAAGCTGTCATGGTGGGTCTTAGGGGAGCACAGAGACTCCAGTGTGCCCATGTGGAGTGGCATAAATGTTACCAGTGTCTCCCTGAAGAATCTGAGCCCAGAACTGGGCACAGATGCAGTCAAGGATCAGTGGAAGGAGGTTCACAAGCAGGTGATTGAGTGCCTATGAAGTGATCAGACTGAAAGGTTATGCATCTTAGCCATTGGCCTCTCTATGGCAGTCTTGACTAAGAGCACAATGAAGAATCTTGGGCAGGTGCACCCCATTTCCACTATAATTAAGGGTCTCCATGGGATCAAGGATGATGTCTTCCCAGCATCCTTTGTGTCGTGGGACAAAATAGAATCTCGGATGTTGTGAAGGTGACTAACTCCTGAAGAGGAGGGCTGCCTGAAGAAGGGTGCAGACATGCTCTGTGGGACCCAGAAAGAGCTGCAGTTCTAAAGTCTCCCCATGTCCTAGCACTTCACTGTCGAAGCTGTAGGAGGGGTTTCTATGGAGACCACACACCGTCTCCTCCTGATCTGAGCTTTGGCAGTGCAATTGTATTCAGGTGGTCCAGGGTAAACCTCAGTCCCTACAGCTCTATCCTGATGCTCAGTGTGGTACTTGTGTATTGGTAACGTGGTGAGTTTGACAGTTCAGTCTCTGGGACACCCTACCAACTGTGTATGATCCCGGGAGCCTGCTATGTCACTGTGCTGTGCACACTCAACAGACATGCCTAGGCCAGCGAGTTCCCAGTTAGCCATAACCTGGCTCCAGTGTGTAAGTCCATTATGCATATCTTGTGCATAACTGTTCTGAAGGATATTATCTTGTGCATTATGTATGTCTGTAGTGTACATTGAAATATTATGTAAAATAAGATCTGCATATGAATGATGCAACCAACTACCTAAGTATCCTGCCCATGAACACACCAAATAAACCTTGAACAGTGAGGAAAAAATAAACACTAAGCAACAAACACAGTGATGAGATCATTGAGAAGGGTTAGTGCCATCCTTACAGAGCTCAGCTGGTTCTTTCGGGAGCAGATACATTCCCATAGGAACAGATCCTTCAAAAGCGACATTGATGCTCATGTTTTCTTCTGCATTTTATATCCACCTCATGAGCTGAAGCTGCCCAAGTTCTCCCCAGAAGCCGAGAATATTCTTCATGCTCTTAGATTTCCTCTTGTTCAGAGCATGAGTCAACATAAACCCACATTCTTTATAAGTCAGTAAGATTCCAGTGTTCTCTTATAGAAACAAAAAATCTGATGGAGGCAGGTGGTGGAGAGAGGGAGACCATTTCAAGGGAGCCTGCCCTGCACCACAGCTGCACAAAGGACCAATCAAAAGTATCAGGAGAGTAGGATAGCTATTTAGATGAAAGTGTGAGCTACACAGGTCCTATTTTGGTTGAAACAAATATACTGCCATCTTTGTGATTTAAACGCATGCACAGTGCATTTTCAGATCACACTGGTGCTGACCATGTTCACAAAATGGACGCAGTTAGTGTCAAATTTCCAAATATAATTATGGGTGTGCTGAAGTAGAAAAGTGTCATAGTGGCCCACACTTAGAGTAGCTCATACTTGTCACCCTAGTGCTTGTTAGATAGCATCAGAAGGATTTTAAGTTTGAGGCCAAGTGTAGAGTCAGTTCTAAGCCAGGCTGGTCTACATGCTGAGACTATCTACAAAGACCAAGGGCTGAAGATGAAGCTTAGTGGTAGAGTGACTGGCTAGCATTTTAAAAAGACCCTGGGTTCAATCCTCAGCACAGGTAGGTGAAAATAAATCAAAGAGGAAGAACCAAAGTGAATTATCATGGCTAAAATCCAAAACTAAAGACATCTTCAATACTTAGAAAACCAGTAAATGAAGAAGTGATACCCTATTAGAAGTCATTGGGAAAAATGAACCACAGGAATTGAATATATATTTTCATCGGTGTTGACATGATAGTCTAGAGCATCTTTTTTTTATCTGATGGCCTCCTGACAGCTATAGTGCATGAGAAGAGCCATAGTTACAGATGTTTAGCCTTGGATAACCATGCCTAGACTTTATCAAATGAGCAAAGAGCAAAATAGTGCTAAATAAAAAGAACTATCTGGCTGTAAACTGAATGAAGCCAGTGGGATACATGTGTTCATAACGCACCCCTCCCTAGAAGCATGATCTTTCTCCAGAGGCTGAATTTTATGTCTTTTCTGGATTAAGACACAATATAAACTAAATGTGGTAGTGCGCAGATAGGGCTACATAGAGAGAGAGAGAAAAAAGAGAGACAGAGAGGCAGAGAGAGACAGAGAGACAGAGATTGAATATAACTAAATAGCCCATGTTTAAATTAATTATCTTGTTATTGTTCAAATTAAGTTCAAATTTGTTTTATGAAGCATATCAAATTGTATATTTTTTTTCCTTAGCATTTCCTCAGGACAGACATGTAAAAATGTGGCCCCTTCTCTGAAAGTTGACGTAGTTCTGCTTTCTCCACTCCTATCACTGTGATAATGAATAAGTGCCTATGTCACTGCCAAACCACTAGGCCTGTCCTGGCTGTGCTCCGACCAGCAATCACTGGGCGTTTGGTTCAAGCAGAGGCACGCGATCATAACAAAGAGAGCCATCTCATCAGATACTTACCTCTTTTTCACTCTACTGTTTAGATGTGAGTAACACAAGGGTTTGAGGGGTATGACAGTCTCAACATGCGGCTTTCATTTCCAGGTTCAGGGTAACTGACGACTCCTGTGCTGTGGGACATGATCCAGGAAGTAGACTTCCAACTGTTCAGAGGACAAAAGTGCCAAAGAACCACATGTCCTTTCAGAGCCTGGTTCTGGCTTTACCTGGCTGAAGAGAAGACGGAGAATAAATTTTACCCGTCACTGTGTGCTCAGCTAAACGGGGAGACAGACCGCACTGCCTCCACCTGTAGTCTTAGAATTAAGAAGGCAGTTGACCCTGGCAGGGCTTGGCTACACTTTCTCTGTGCCCTCACTCAACCTGCAGCCCCTGAGACATGAGCATGAGAAACTTTACAGCCCGATGGTGAGGAGTTTGTTAATCTGACAAGGAATCAAGGTTCATTGAACTCTTAAATTCAGCATTTTTATAGAGTATGGCCAAGGGAGAACGAGCCAAGGACAGACGTCATTGGCTACGAGTTAATTGGCACTCCACCACACAGCTCCTCTCTCCGCTCTCCTTCTCTCATTTTCTATGTTTCTTTTTTTATTTTGTTTTGCGCCTTTTTTTTTTAACTCTCCTTCTTGCCATTAATAGGTACACAAGGAAAACATTCAGGGTTTCAGTGGAATTAAAGGCAAGTTTTAAGGTAGAATTTACAGCGAGCCCCATGCTGAACAGGGACTGGTCTCCACACAGCTGCAAGCCCAGCTCACAGTCCCTCCCATGTGGATTTGTGAGGAGCGAGGGACCGTATTCTCTGCATGGGATTTTGCTTCTGGGCTAGGGTTGACTGCAAGTTTGTTGGAATGAATGCTACGTTTTGTTTTGTTTTGTTTTTACCATAAGGGACTTCTGCAGAGAGCCTGGCGCTCACCATGTGCTGTGAGGAGAAAAGTGTTTGCAGAATGCTGCTTTCCCTGGGCTCAAAAAAAAAAAAAAAAAAAAAAAAAAATCAGTGAAGCTGAGAAGCACAAGGGATTCTCAAGCCTGTCTGGGACAAAATAAGCAGATGTGCTTGAGCACATTAGTAGCACTTGCCAGGGCTACTCAGCACAGAGGCTGTTAGAGTCCATTGGGAGGAGCTTGTTTCTAGTCTCCGCTTTGCCACAGACTCTTTGTAGGACTGTGGGCAAATGGCCATCACCACATACCCTGAACGCCAGTTACTTAAACTTCGGGCGCTCACACTTTCGGCTGT